ACCCAGTCAAGAACCTACTGCTCAACAAATATGCAGAAGAAAATGGAGATGGATCAGGCACACACTGAGGAGTCCGTCGAATTACATTGCGCTCACTGCAGGCCATCATTTAAGTGGAACTTGAATAGTAAAAGATGACTTGAGAGATAGTTCGAGGGTGACATTGAGGAGATATTGTGAGAAGGAGGAGATGACAGACTATAGGAAGTCCGTGGGACCAGCCAGCTAAAGCGGACCGCAGAGAATAGAACAAAATGGAGGTGTGTTGTTGAAGCCCTATGTTCCACATGGAACCCAAGGGAACAATACTATTAATAATGATAAAATCATGATTCTCAGTTACTAGTATAAACAATTTCAACTCTTCACTACTAGTCATGATCAATGTGGCAAAAATAATCTCTCCCTAATTTACTTGATTTCCTTCCTGAAGGAATGAAATAATCTTCGCTGATATAAGTATAAAACTTGGGCACTGTGGTGGTAGAGCATAACTCCATTATGGATAAGATTTTATCTCGATAAATCACACAGTGTTGTTACACAGTAATATTTACTGATACGACCACGTTTCGAGCACAAACTATTGCCATTCATAATCGTATCAAGACACTACTCACACAACTTTTTTCCTTCATTTATATACATGTGTGGAGTTGACCAGATATTGGAATGAAAATCAATATGGGATAATGTGCATTCAGAAATAATAAAACGAGTGTTATTGATCAATTACAATTAGATGGGAAATAAATAATCTCAAAATTCTACTTCAATTCCAGCACATCACAACATTCTAACAAGTAACTATAACTATAATTATAGTTACTTCTCCCATCTGATTTTAATTGATCAATAACACTCATATTACTATTGTTACTGAATGTACATTATCCCATATTGATTTTTCTTCAAACACCTAGTGAATTCCACACATGTATATAAATGAAGGAAAAAGTTGGGTGAGTAGTGCGTTGATATGATTATGAGTGGCAATAGTTTGTGCTCGAAACGTGGTCATCAGTAAATATTACTGTGTAACACTGTGTGATTTATCAAAATAAAATCTTATCTATAATGGAGATATAATCTTCGCGCCTCAGCATAAATGAACACTGGACAGTTTAAAAAACATAACAATCCAAAATATCTCTGATATTCATAATTTTATTATTTAGTTAGTTAGCTAGCTAAGTTCTTGGGCAGAAAACAGTACTTCCTCTTTAATTTTAGTCAGTTTAATGTGTGAAACGTGACAAACTATTATTTGAAAAGTAAAATGACAAAAAATAACAGGCTTCTCAATCAGGCATACCCATTTTATGTTTCACATTTTTGCCATTTTACAAATAACAGATATCGAATGCATATGTTTTACGTTGGTTTTTGCGACTTTTACTCACCTATGCACAGAAATGGTCACTCTCTCTCTTTTTCTCTCTGCGGATGACATTTAGGAAAGGCGATCTTATGAGAAATCATGTAGTGATGCTATCTAAGCCATATGTTCCAATGGGAACCTAAGTGAATATTATTAAGAATAAACTCTGAACTTACACTTCATAAATTTACTTAATACCTGTCACGTTCATATGCGTCGGTTGCATAGTGGTTAGGACTCTCGCCGACCATACACATGGTCCGGGGTTCGACCCCCTGCCGACGCACACCTGATATCTATGGTCGGCCTGCAAAATTTGGGCTACCGACATCACATGCTGAAAATTCCATACCTGTACCGAAAATACGGTTTGGAATCAAGCCGTAATCAATATATATATATATATGTATATATAGAATCGTTTCAATAGGTGGTTGCCTTTTGAAAAAGTGGTGTTATGAATCTGCAGTCATTTGCTCGTGTTGACTCGAGCATACTGGAGCTGTACTATGCACCGGCTTGTAAAACGCGCGCGAGAACATTATCCAGCATAATTAGCAAAATGAGAACGCAAGAGTGTGTATATAGTTCGATGACAGGATGTCTGATGGTGAATTCAAGACATTCAGCTCCATTTGAATGAAAAGTCCTACAAAGTCATATACGAGATCCGACCAAACCTCTCTCGCAAAGGCAGCGAAATCAAGGCATCTGGCAGGGAATAGCTGAGGCACCAGCGATCCCATATTTCAAGCCCACGTTATATGTATTCAAAAGAAACACGTCCAATCGTTGTCTTTACCATGGCCATTACTAAAGAGTCAGTCCTATCAATAATGACTATCCCATTACCTTTCTTATCCAATCTTCCCGTTTATTGATATTATTTTTACGTTTTCTAAAAATTCCTATCTGCATTATTATGGTTTTTTATCAGAACTTCCTGCCTATTTTGTAATCACTATACTTTAAATCCTTTACTGCTCAAAAATAGTCAAGTTTCTCATTAATTATGGTCTTACTATGTCTTTCCACCAGGCAAGCTCATTTGAGCATACAGAAAGAGTGCAGCTGCGTCACAAGGTGGCTGGCTGCCTGGTTGTCTTTCTATTATTCGGGTAGAAAACAAAATACTGTCTTATTAAATGGAAAGCGCTCCACTTCGTTGCAGACGAATACTGGTGTGCCTCAAGATGGGCTGTACTCTCTCTTCATTCCTTTTTTTCTTTCTTTTTGCATCACCTTCCGTATTATTCCAATGGTAACTTCATTATATATGCCGATGATCTGATCATTTCTGTGCCAGTATTTTCGGCATTGGACTGTTCCAATATGATGAATAGATTCTTATCTGAAGTGAACAAATGGTCTCACCTAAATCGTCTTAAACTAAATCCTCCTAAATGTTACATTGCTGATTTTAGTTATAGATGCGAATGGACTGATTCAGTCCTCCCATGATTTCTGCAATATTGAGGAATATCTCTTATATCGTTATCAGTTCCTCTTCGAATCTCTTTCTATCGTCTGATATCCTGTTGATTTCGAAGAAAGGGTTTTCGTTTGACTTATTACATAGAGAAGTTGAAACTTCCTGGAATAACTCAACTTATATTCTTACAATTTATTGATTCCTGCATTCTGTCCATTCACCTTCTTTATTGTCCACCCTTATTCTTCCATTCCATGGACTTCTCAAAACAGACTAGATCATATCATGCTACATAGAACACTGAAGACTGTAAGCAGACACGGTCAGTGGTGTGTTTCCGTGTGCGTGTGAGATTGTTGTTGTCAATGGGCACTTCAATTCATTTCTGGCAAGCAGTTATTCGAATAAAGTCACCTTGTCTCGAACAGGACATCCCTTCCACTTATTCGCAACTTCTGTCTCCCACTATCTCTCTCTCTCTCTCTCCGCAGAGTGAAACCAGAAGAAACTTCATAGGAATTCATTCTCGTACAGCTGCTTAGTATAGAAATTCTACCATACTACCATATTTAGCACAGGTGGTTGTGTCTGTGTGTGTGTGTGTGTGTGTGTGTGTGAAGAGAGAGTCAAATGTCAGCGGTGAACTTATAAACGTTTCAGCTCAGTCAGTGAACTGCAAAGTGAGTATAAGTAAAGATTATTATTATTATTATTATTATTATTACATGTATTATCTGTGATGCTATCTACTTATACTCCATTGCATTTCCGCCAACATTGCATTTATAGTGGTTTCATTATTAATATTATTATTACTATTTTATATTCTATGTATGTACGTATTTATGTAAAAGGAGCTAAATTGTAGCCATATGTATAAAAGCATTGAAAATTCCATTCTGTAAAATTATTATTGTTTGTAATAAAGTTATTATTAGTATCATTATCATCTGATCTTGTTTATTACACTTTGTAATTTTATTAATTTAACCCCTGACCGACCGAAAATGGGGTTGTCGAACTTTCTTTCTCCCCTATTTACCATACTATAAATGCCGGGATGTACAGCCTAGCTAGTTGAAGGTGACCTCGTCGAAATGAAAGAAAGATTTTCCTTCCTCGTTGCAACCGCCTTTCTGATAATTTTTTTATTAAACCAGTATCTGCAGTTAGACTTGAGAGAAAATGGATATTTTTGTATCATAGAGAGAAGCATATACTGTACCACATAAAGCCAGCGTGGAAGAATCCTTCTCTATCATCTACCGGGTTCCCGTATAAATTGCAAAAATTCATCGAAGAACCACATGCTACAAGCACCAGAGGCTATGGCAATTCGCCTCACACAACCAGTGCTCTGTGTGAAAAAGAAGCAAGTCCAGCTAGCCACTACTACTGCCCTGACCGGCCTTCAGTAGAGAGTATAAACTCATGAATTTGTAATATTATCTTTCCTAATTTTTCTGACATTCAGCTTATTTGATGTTGATGCTATTGAACTGTAATCTATCAATATTATTGATTCGATGTTATTTAAACAACATTAATGTTGTTCATAACACTAATTACATTCATCAACCTGAAACCAATCTGGAAATCTTCGTCACTCAGCATCAACAACAAAATTCGGATGTCCAATACAAACGTCAAGTCAGTTCTTCTGTACGGATCAGAAACTTGGCGGGTCACAAAGAATATTACCAACATTTTGCAGACCTTTAACAACAACTGTCTTCGCTCTATAATTAAGATCAGATAGCCGGAACGAATCACCAACAAGAAACAATTGGAACAAACAAATATGCAGGAGAAAGTGGAGATGGATTGGACACTCGCTGAGGAGGCCGTTGGGTGACATCGCGCGTCAGGCCATTGCTTGAGTGGAACCCGAAAGGGAAGCGACGAGTGGGAAGTCCAAGGGTGACATGGGGAGGAGTTGAAACAGTATGGACTAACATGGATGCAGGTGAAAAGTACAGCAGAAGACGGAAGCAAGTGGAGGCGTGCAGTTGAAGTCCTATGTTCCACTAGGAACCCAAGGAAACAATAATAATAATAACACTAATTTGTTCATTCACTATAACGTGTATATATAACTGTAGAGCCTGATGATGAATTAATCAAAAAAAGTATTCTTCGTTCAGTATCCACATAAAAAAACTTGATTAAAACCATCAGAAAACTCACCTGCCTTCTGGCTCTGACTCTAGTAATCACTTTGCATATTTTCAAGTTCTGTTGTGACTCAATCATAATAGTAGTAGCATAAGCATGTTCTGAATTCTCCGATGGTAGCGGTCGTCTATTCAAGTTTATCTGTTGTCGTCCAACTATCGAAGATATGCCTTTTATATCATCTGTACGAAATAGACGCCAACTAATCTGACAGTACATCACAGAAGTAATCAATAATGGGATAATATAAAATAGAATTAAATCACACATATAAATAGCCTTGTAGGCGGTTCGTTTAAATGCAAATGTACACTTTTCAAATGTACCATACTCTGAGTATTGTTCAACTGTAGCGCTCATAAATATCCAGGGTATATTATAAATCAGTGTGAATATCCATATCCCAGCGATTATTTTTATTGCTCTTTTAATAGTACACATATATTGTGCACGCATTGGATAGCATATACCAACCCATCGTTCCACAGAGAATGCACAGATCGATAAGGCTGAAGCATCTACACTTAAATATTGTAAGCATACACTCAACTGACATGCAAATTCACCTAATGTCCAATGATTATACGGTTGATAGAATTCTTGTAACATCAGAGTTGTACTTGTCATCAGGACGAGTAGATCACTGGCTGACAATGAAACTAAATAATAGTTGGTCGGTGTATGCAGCTTAGGCGACAGTGTCAACACGAGCATGACAAGAATATTTCCAATGAGACCGACAGTGAGAATAATTCCTAACGAAATTGTACCAACAATTTTATACGACATAGAATAGTGTATTAGCGGGATCAAGGAATCATTTCTAAAGGGATCAGCATAAGTGAGATTACTATCCATGACTAGAAATCAATCAATAAATAAGTGTTGTTTATTCACAATGTTCAGCGATGAAATTTCAGTGAATATGTTGCCATTTTCAACAGTTAGAAAAAAAGAAAACCGCTTTTGATTGTTTTAATATGATATGATCAAGGGATTTTTTTATTATTTTCAAAAGCCCTCCTGATCAGTTTAATTTCACTATGACACAATTGAAAATGCTGTTAATTCATTGGTTGTTTTATAGACGCGAATTTGATTGGTTGAATTATATATATTTCAAGGTCTTTATTTCCATTACCAATTATTAGAAGACGACACGCAAAAGAACAATATTTTTGTTTTCAATTAGATCTTCTTCTTTTATTATTTGCAATGTGAAAGCCAACAAGAATTTAATGATGCACATGCCTCACGCTCATGTTCACTTGTGTAGAAGAAGAAGAGGATGGTAGATTGCACTTGCTTAGTGTCCATTTTAACCAAAGAGAGATCAGCTGGTTCACTCAAGAGAGATTTCTATATAAAACTCACGTCTGTAAGACAGTACTCCCATTTATTCAGTTTTATACCAATCCGATACAAAATCAAATTGGTTAGATGTCTTAGGAATAGAGCAGGAATTATGCGTACAGATGACACCCTAGAGAATATGAATTAGGATACATCGAAAATACGTTGATCCAAACAGGTTCTCCTAGAAGATTTGTAAGGAGACAAGTACATGAATATCATGTATAATACTGAGAAACCGAACACGGTGAAAAAAAACACAACTATTCCTGAAACTACAGTTCAAACGGGAAGTGGCTAGGGAGGTTATATTTCTAGGATTATCTAGAGAAAAGAGACGGACTTATTCTGCCGCCACACTTTATTTGTCATTTCCCACCTACCCACCAATTATATGATCTCTCAAGTTAAAAACGAGCTACTAACTTTAGGCCAGATCCATCTGCATTTATAATTTCAGCTGATGGACGAGTAGACAGCTAGCTCAACAAACACATCATTACTCAGCATCCTCCTTCATCCATGGTTCGGTTCTCAAAAGTGGGATGAGTAAAATCTATAAAAAGTTCCATTTCGTCTCATTTGATTGATGATAATGGTCAGTAGGTGGGCAGGAGAAGTGCCTTCAGAGTTATCCATCTCATCCTATCGAACCTTTCATTTGGAATTCGAACCCCTCTCCTTTTGCGCACAGCATAAACTATGAGAGGGAACTTGAAATAAGAATAAAACTTGTGCACTGTGTGGTAGAGTGTAATTCCATTTTAAGTAAATTTTGTTTTCATAAAGTCTCACAGTGTTATACAGTAATATTTACTGATGACATTTCGAGCACAATTTATTGCTCATAATCATATCAAGTTAATCACACGACTTCCTAAATTCATTTATATAGTTTAATTGTTTTTCACTTGATTTGATTGGTAGTAATATTTCCCATATTTCGGGTATGAGTGATGATTCATTCCAATTGCATGTGTTGGGTGTAGATTCGATGAACCAGATAGGATTCAGTAATCAACCTCTCTCTCCACCTACCTAGATTACTTTTTAGAATTTTAACCCTCTCCCACCTTATTGTGTGGTTGTGTGTTAATGCATGCAGTGCAATGCAATTGCTGAGCCTTTTTCTAAATTACTTATCTTCTCTGGGTCAACCATTCTTACCTTAGCCACTGAATTCTTATGTTCCAAAAATCTGATTACCCACACCCGACCTACTAGTTTGACCTATATAGTTGACCTCATTCACAGTCATTGCAGGGTATTTTGTAAATTATATCATTTTGTCTAATTGGGTCAACTGGGTCCTTTAACCGACAGAGCTTGTCCTGCCTGAGTGAATTTTTAGGTTTAAATGCCACTCTAATTCCTGCTTTATTTAGAATCCTATGTAGGGTCTCAGATGTCCCCTCTTTATATGGTATAACTGTAGATGACTTATATTCTCTCTTGTTTATATTATTATTACTAGTTTCACAATTCTTTTTATTTTTATTTTGGCCTTTTTCAATCTTCCTAATGAATTTTAAAGGATAGTTATTTGACACCAACGCTTCTTCTATCTGTTTTATTTCATCATTTAGGTCTTATTTTGTGCTACTTAGTGCCATTGCTCGGTTTGTTAAACACCTAACTAAGACTGCATTCACAGACAGTTAACGGATGAGATGAATTAAAGTCTAAATATCTGTTAGCCGAATGCGTTGGTTTTCTATAAACACTAGTGTGTAGTTTGCCTTCTTCTATTCGTTTTATCTTACAATCTAACATGGCTGATTCTCCTTGTTCATTTTCTGATTCAAATGTGAATTTTATTCCTTCTACTTGTGAGTTTATATGTGTTAAGAAGCTAGAGATATGTTCTGTTTTTAACACTGTGAATGTGTCATCTACATATCTCCACCATATTTTTGGCGTAGGATTAAATGTATTGAGAGCACTATTTTCCCAGCTGTCCATAAAAATGTCTGCTACAATAGGGGATATTGGTGATCCATCCCATTGCCACACCTTCTGTTTGTCTATATATTTTGCCTTGGAACTTGAAGATAGTAGATGTGATGCACAAGGTATGAGAGGGAATTCGAAAGAACACTCCGAGTGTTTTTGTATACAAAAGCAGTTTCTTCTACACTCGTCTCTCCCTTGCTTCACCTAGGTAAACCTCCCATGCACCCACACACACGCTTTCTCATTCTCCTTTTCCTTCGTACCTTCATGATATTTGTAACAACAAAAGGCAAGACACTGAGGCCAAGGTATATTTTTCATTAATCAAACCGCTGTTTATATGTATCTACAGTTTATATTCGTTAACCAATCACTGAGCGTGTGATTTCGGTTTACGTCAAACGAAACGAAGTACAACGTTCAAATATGCATAGTATTTTACTGTTAATGTTATATATAACTGTGGGAAAGTATTCTGTCTCCAACATCAAATAGAATGTTCAAATAGATCTATTGTATGCAGAATTGAACTGCGGGAACATGCGAGAATAACATTTCGTTGGTACACATTGTCGTATGAATCACACCACCAAACATTTATTTAAACTGTGATTTCCTGTCCACTTCACTCTCAGTATTACGAACTTTCAAGATTTGACCTCATTTATTTATCAAAATGTCTACATATACACATATCACTCACTACCTTCGCGTTATTCTTACTGCCACCTGCACAAGCCTTATCATCCCTATTTTAGCTAAGATTAATAACCGTCGTTATTACGGACGTTGAAAACATTTGACACTTATTATTATTATTGTTCCCTTGGGTTCCTAGTGGAACATAGGGCTTCAACTACACGTCTCCACTTGCTTCTGTCTTCTGCTGTCCTTCACACCTGCATCCATGTTAGTCCATACTGTTTCAACTCCTCTTCACACGATCTCCTCCATGTCACCCTTCGACGTCCCACTCGCCACTTCCCATTCGGGTTCCACTCGAGCACTGGCCTGACGCGTGATGTCGCCCAGTGGCCTCCTCAGCGAGTGTCCAATCCATCTCCACTTTCTCCTGCATATTTGTTGGGCAATTGGTTCTTGTTTTGTTTGTTCCCATAGTTTCTTGTTGGTGATTCTTTCCGGCCATCTGATCTTCAGTATAGAGCCAGGAAGACAGTTGTTGATAAAGGTCTGCAACAGGCTGTTGGAAATATTCTTTGTGACCCGCCAAGTTTCTGATCCATCCGTATAGAAGAACTGACTGACTTGACGTTTGTATTGAAAATCCGAATTTTGTTGTTGATGCTGAGTGACAGCGGAAGATTTCCAGATTGGTTTCAGGTTGATGAATGTGTTTCTCGCCTTCCCGATTCTCGATTTGACATCCTCGTCCGTTCCTCCTGTTAGTTGAGACAATGCTCCCTAGATAAGTGAATGAAGTAACCTCTTTCAAATCCCTCCCGTTGATGGTGATTAACGCTGGATGTTGCTGCTGCTGTTGTTGTTGTTGTTGGTTGGTTATTTTCATAACCTCCGTCTTGTCTATGTTCACCTGCAGTCCTGTCTTTGCTGCTTCTTCGACCAGTTTGTCGGTTTTTGCTTGTAAGTCTTCGATTTTGTGTGACATCAAACATAAATCATCCACGCGCGAAATCCAGGTCTTCTAGGTTCTTCACGTCGGTCCAGGATATCCCTGTCTTCTCGTTTCCCACTGTCTGACGCATAATCCAGTCCGTCCACCACAATTAGGAATATCATTGGTGATAATAAGCACCCTTGTCTGACTCCTGTGTTTACTCCAAACGCTTCGCTGAGTTTTCCGTTGTGGATCACTTGACATGTGCTGTTGCGGTACAGCTATTGAATAAGGTTGATGAATATTTGGGGTACGCCGTAGTACTCGAGTAGTTTCCAAATTACTTCGCGGTCAACGCTGTCGAAGGCCTTCTCAAAGTCTATAAAGTTGAGGTAGAGGTTTGATTGCCATTCCATGCTTTGTTCGTGATGATGATGCGTAGAGTTGCAATTTAGTCAGAACATGATTTGCCTTTCCTGAATCCAACTTGTTCTGGTCGGAGTTCTGTATCCAGTGCATCCTTTATTCTCTCCAGGATGATGCGACTCAGAATTTTACTTGGCGTCGACAGGAGCATGATTCCTCGCCAGTCTTGCAGAGTCCTAAGTCGCCCTTCTTTGGCAGTTTCCCAAGATAACCTTTTCTCCAGTCAGTAGGCACCTTTCCCTCCTTCCAGACCTTTTGCAATAATGGAGTCAGCACATCTGCTGTTGTCTCTGGGTCCGCTTTCAGTGCTTCCGGGGGTATTCCATCTGGTCCAGCTGCTTTTCCAGCTTTCAGAAGCTTGATTGCATTCAAGACTTCAGCTTTCGTTGGAGGATTGGTGTCAACTTGCAGTTGTGTGCGCGCTGTTGTTGGCATTTCTGGACGGGTTGTAGGTGGTGGTCGGTTCAAGAAACCTTTGACACTTACTATGATTATTATACTCTGAACCACGAACACCCTGTCATTTGGTTTAACTTTGTTTTATGCAGAAATCTATGTGAATGAGAGTAAAGCCTGAGGGGGGGATCTACTTGAAAGCAACAATATTGTTCGCTTATATGTCTTATTTTTATGAAGAAATTGTAAATAAGGTGCAGATTGAGTGCATTTTGATAAGATGAAGAAGAGAGTGATCCGGGAGATGTGATCATAGT